GACTGAACTTAATCGTCTTTTTAAATTAAACTAACCATTTTATTTTCCCGCTACCACGTGCTCTGCCAGTTTGCGCAGTAATTACGAGCGTGAGATTCTCTATCATCGCGGGGTTTTTTTTTTTTTTTTTTTTTTTTTTTTTTGTTTGCTGTGGGTGTCATTTGGGTGTTTTTCGCGGTGGTCCTTGTTTAACCGGGGCGCTGCTGCTGTAATCCAAGAGCCGCCTGAGCCTCTCTTCTCTGTCTTTTCCACTTGGCTGAAAACGCGCAGCGGCTGAACAACGACGCGCGATGGCAGGCGCCGGCGACTCGTGCCAAACCCTCTCCACGCGCGCGCTCTCCTCTCCTCTCCCTCCCTCGTGCTCCCAGCAGCCCCCCGCGCCAGTTGGCTGTTGACTTCACCCTCCGAAGAACGCCAAGAACGAGGGGGTGAGGACAAAAAAAAAAACAAAAAAAACAAGCCGTATAAATTACCCCCCCGTTTTCCAAATCGAGCGTCGTTTTTGCGCCAAATCCTCCGGTTTTTTTGTGCGTAAACGTGGAGCGCGCGCTGTGATTGTTTGGTGGGTGGGCGTTTTTTTTTTTTTTTTTTTTTTTTTTTTGGGTGCCCTCTCCTTCCCTCCTCCCTCCCTCCGCGGTCACGGCAGTCTGGCAGCTTGGCAGGAGACGCGTTTATCATAAAATATACGCTGTTACATCACACCTTTTTAATGGGCGTAAAGTGAGAGCGCGCGATGACAACCCCCTTTCGCGCGCCCCCACCACGTGCAATTATTTTAGTCATCATTTTCGGGGGGACGTGGGTACACTTGCCATGCTCGTTTCGGATTAAAAAAAAAAAAAAAAAAAAAAAAAACACGTCAGGTTTCGCCGTAGTTGAAGCGAAAACGCGGGGAAAAAGAAGTTTACGTCACGTCGATGTTGCGCTGGAACGAGCCGAACATGTTAAATAATCATACGCATTTTCTAACAAATATGTCCAAAGTTACGATTCTGAAATAGTCCTCACATCGTTTAAAGTAACAAATAATCCGGGAATCACCATTTTAAAAAACTAAAACTACGCCGAAATTGGGTCATTACGTCATTACGCACAGACAACGTCAAATTTTTGCAAACGCATCAAAATAACAGTGGATTTTTTTTAACCCTGACAATGATTTGGAAGAAAATTAGATGCTGAATTACACTAAATTTGACCAAATATTAATGAATTTTAGTTTTAAATGACGACATTACGTCAAGGCCCAACGTTCGAACGTGCTTTGCGTCAGAGTTGTTGGAATAATTCGCATTTTCCTCGTTTTGTTTTTACGTTTTTATCATATTTACTTATGTTTTTACAGTAAATAAAATCTGTACAGCGGGTCAAAGTTTACGTGTGTCCAAATAAATGTCAAATTGAGATTAAAATTTGAGCTTTTGTGCGTATTTTTGCGATATTTGTCCGTAGTTTTACACCTTAATCTACACAGTTTATGCATTTCTAAGTTTTTTATTGCTTTTAGAGTGAGTATTTTCAGAAATACCCGTATGTTGAGTCCAGTTTTTGGTCTTAGCTCTTCCCTTGCACCATATCCTCATTTTGTTTTTACGTTTTTATCACGAGTTTAGTTACGTTTTGGGTAAATAAAATCTGCACAGAAAGTCAAAATGTAAGTGTATCCAAATAAACTCCATGTTGAGATTAAAATTTGAGCTTTTGTGTGTATTTTTAAAGTATTTCTTCATAGTTTTACACCTTAATATAAGAGTTAATGCATTTTCTAAGTATTATTATTGCTTTTAGAGTCTCTTAGCTGGTCCCTTGCACCAGAATAGTTGAAATAATTCCCATATCCTCATTTTGTTTTTACGTTTTATCAAATACACATTGACAAACTGTACAGATTTTAAGTGTATCTAAATTAACCCCATGTTTATATTGAAATTTGAGCTTTTATGTGAATTTTTGTGATATTTGCTCATTGTATTTCACCTTAATGTACAGATTTTATGCATTTCTGAGTATTTTTATTGCTTTTAGAGTGAGTATTTTCTAAATTACACGCACGTTGAGTCTAGTTTTTGGTCTTAGCTCTTCCCTTGGACCAGATTTGGTGTAATAATTCATATATTCTCATTTTGTTGTTACATTTTATCATATTTACGTATGTTTTGGGGTAAATAAAATCTGTACAGTGGGTCAAAGTGTAAATCTGTCCAAATTAACTCCATGTTGAGATTAAAATTTGAGCTTCTGTGTGTATTTTTATGATATTTGTTCATAGTTTTACACCTTAATACTACAGAGTTTATGCATTTCTTAGTATTTTTATTGCTTTTAGAGTGAGTATTTTCTAAATTACTCGTATGTTAAGTCTAGTTTTTGGTCTTAGCTCTTCCCTAAGACCAAAAACTAGACAATCTGTACACTAGGTCAATTATATTATTATTATTTGTATTTGTTCATAGTATTTCACCATAAAATACAGAGTTTATACATTTAAGAGTGAGTATTTTCTGAATTACTCGTACGTTTTGAGTCTAGTTTTTAGTCTTTGCTGTTCCCTTGCACCAGAATTGTTGTAATAATTCTCATATCCTCATTTTGTTTTTACGTTTTACCACATTTACTTATGCTTTTGTGGCTAAATAAAATCTGTACAGTAGGTCAAAGTGTAAGTGTATCCGGATTAAGATTTGAGCTTCTGTATTTGTTCATAATTTTACACATGGATCTACAGATCTTACGCATTTTTATTGCTTTTAGAGTGAGTTTTATCTTGAATTACTTGTACGTTGAGTCCAGTTTTTGGTCTTTGCTGTTCCCTTGCGTCAGAATTGTTGGAATAATTCTGATATCCTCATTTAGTTTTTGCGTTTTAACATACTATACTTTTACTTTTAATCCTCATTTTGTTACGTTTTCTCATATTTACTTCTGTTTTTGTGGTTAAATCAAATCTGTACAGTAGATCAAAGTGTAAGTGCATCTAAATTAACTCCATGTTGAGATTAAAATATGAGCTTTTATGCATATTTTTGTGGCATTTGTTCATAGTTCTACTCCTTAATGTACAGTTTATACATACATTTATACATTTAGAGTAAGTATTTTCTGAATTACACAAACACTGAGTCCATTTCAGCTGTTCTCTTGCACCGGAGTTGGTTTAATAACTCCCAAATCCTCATTTTGTTGTAACGTTTTCTGATATTTATTTATGTTTAAAGTCTGTACAGTAGGTCAAAGTGTAACCTCGACATGACGTGTATCCAAATAAACCTCGTGTTGAGATTAAAATTTGAGCTTTTTATGTGTATTTTTCCTGATATTTGTTCATAGTTTTACACTTTAATACACATAATTCCCATATCCTCACTTTGTTTTTACGTTTTCTTACATTTATTTACTGTTAAAATCTGTACAGTAGGTCAAAGTGTAAGTGTATCTAAACAAACCCAATGTTGTGATTAAAATTTGATCTTTTGTACTTATTTTTAACAATATTTTTTCATAGTTTTACACCTTAATACACAGATTTTATGCATTTAGATTGAGTATTTTCTGAATTACTCGTATGCTGAGTCCAGTTTTTGGTCTTTGCTGTTCACTTGCACCATATCCTCATTTTGTTTTTTACGTTTTCTCATATTTACTTATATTTTTAGGTAAATAAAATCTGTACAGTTGATCTTCTGTGTGTATTTTTACGGTATTTATTCACAGTTTTACACCTTAATGTACAGATAATAAAAAGATTTTATGCATTTCTAAGTATTTTATTGCTTTTAGAGTGAGTATTTTCTGAATTACTCGTATGTTGAGTCTAGTTCTTGGTCTTTGCTGTTCCTTTGCACCAGAATTGTTGTAATAATTTCCATATCCTCATTTTGTTTTTATGTTTCATCATATTGACTTATGTTTTTGTGGGTAAATACACTTTTACTACTGTATAGAGTGTAAGTGCATCTAAATAAACCCAATGTTGAGATTAAAATTTGAGCTTTTGTGCGTATTTTGTTCATAGTATTTCACCTTAAAATCCAGATGTTTTGCATTTTAGAGTGAATATTTTCTGAATTACTCGTATGTTGAGTCCAGTTTTTGGTCTTTGCTGTTCCCTTGCACCAAAATTGTCGCAATAATTCTCATCTCCTCATTTTGGTTTTACATTTTCTTATATTTATTTACATTTAAAACTTGTACAGTAGGTCAAAGTTTAAGTGTATCCAAATAAACCCCAAATTGAGATTAAAATCTGAGTTTTTGTGCGTATTTGTTCATAGTTTTACACCTCAATATACAGTTTTTATGCATTATTGATTTAGAATGAGTATTACTATACTTACTGTACATATATATTTATGTTTTTCTTGGTTCATCAAATCTGTGCAGTAGTTTTGCATTTCTAAGTATTTTTATTGCTTTTAGAGTGAATATTTTCTGAATTACTCTTATGTTGAGTCTATTTTTAGTCTTTGCTGTTCCCTTGCACCAGAATTGTTGTCAATAATTCTCATATCCTCATTTTGTTTTTACGTTTTATTGTATTTACTCAAGTTTTTCTGGGTAAATCTGTACAGTAGTTGTGCATTTCTAAGTATTATTATTGCTTTTAGAGTGAGTATTATCTAAATTGTATGTGTATCTAAATAAACCCCATGTTGAGATTAAAACTTGAGCTTCTGTGCGTATTTTTACAGTATTTGTTCATAGTATTACACCTTAATATAAAGATTTTTTGCATTTTTATGTACTATTATTGCTTTTAGAGTGAGTATTTTCTGAATTACTCGTATGTTGAGTCCAGTTTTTGGTCTTAGCTGTTCCCTTGCACCAAAATTGTTCTCATAATTCTCATATCCTCATTTAGTTTTTACGTTTTCTCACGTTTTTGCGCAATGAAGTGCAAGTTCCAAGCTCCTGTGCGTCAGTTTTTGCAGTTTTCATCAGCGCAGTTCACTCTTAAGTATTTCTGTGTGCGTATTTTCGTCTTTGGGAGTGATTTTTTTTACCTGAATGACCCGCATGTTGAGCCCGGTCTCTTGGGCGAGCTGTTCCCTGATGTGTCTGGTGGGTTTGGGCGTCGCGGCGAACGCGGCTTTGAGCGTCTCCAGCTGCTTCGCCTTGATGGTGGTCCGCGGGCCTCGCCTCTTGCCGCCCAGGTTTTGGTCGTCGTTCTCGTTGTTCACCGTCTCCTTGTCGGACAGCGCCGCTATCTCCGTGTCCTTTAGCACCACGTCGTCCTGCAGCGGGTCCTGGGAGTCCGGGGAGAGGCTGGGGTCGCTGCACGCCGTCACTGGGCAAGGAGAAGCAAAAAAAAAAAAAAAAAAAAAGAAGAGAAATGATAAAACGAGGAGAGTCAGCGATACCAGCGATACGCGGGGCTCCTCGGTGAGATGGAGAGTGCCCTATTGTGCGTCATAAAATCAATCAGATGTGAGAAATTATAAGTATGACAAGCCTCGTGTCTGTGCTGATGTAGTGGTCAATTAAAGACGCGTGAACTTTGACCCTGGACGCAGTGACGCAGTGACGCAAGCCTCATAAAAGAATTACGCGTAACTTCCCCTAAGCGCGTTTCCGCAATAATTTACAGCCACGCTTTAAAAAAAAAAAAAGTTGGATTTGCACAAGTTTTACCTCTTTTAAAAAACGAAACTTTACATTTTCAGTGCGTAAAAACAAATAAGAAACTTTTATAAAAGACGAAATAAATAAAATTAAACAAAACACGTCGCGTAAACGATTTTGCGTCTTCGTCCAGTGTTTTACAGTAACATCTACAGTCATATTTATCTTAATCCTTAAAAAAATAACAAATCTATGCGGAAGATGTGACAGGCCACGGTGAGATTAGGGTTTTTAAAGATGTTATCCAAAGTCAGGCCTCTATATGCTGCGTATTTCCGCTCAGAAAGATAAAAAAAATAAAATAAAATAACCTCATCTTCATCTTTCAAATCGCAGTGCTGGTGCTTCTTTGCTCGTTTTAAAACAGAAAAGCGGTCATTTATGTCAAGAAATCATATTCTAAAACCAGAATTTGTCAGTTTTAATCATCACTAGTAAGACATTTTTGAGTTTTGTACATTTATTTGAGAAAATTCTTCCGTGCGTAATCGTTTTTTGGAGACGAGACGCTGATCCAAAACGTCAGAAACAACATTTGGGCAGCTACTTTGACCTAATTTCTGCACATTTATAGTTCTTTTAGGCCTTTATTTAAACATACGAATGATTTTTTTAAGTGTTATTCCCGTTACGCGCGGGCCACAGTCGAACTATTGGAGCAAATTAGCGCCGCGCACAAAAGACATAAGCGCCGCATTGTTGTTTAGGCGCCCGTGGAAATGAAGCCTCCGCGGGACTGAACGTGTCACATCCATCACAATTTACCTCCACGTGCACGCGCTCTCACCCCCCCCAAAAACACACGCACACACACACACAGAGACACACGCGCACGCGCTCTGGGTCCCTCTCTCTCAGACGGGAGCAGGTGTCAGTTCGCCTTTATCGATTATCTGGTATTTTCAGCGAGAAACACCCAAAAGCGAAACCCAACAAACGCCAAACCGGATCGTTTATATTTATGACAAGGTTAATTATCCCTGTTATAGTTATTCAAACACAACACCACGTACGCGTATTAACAATTAGCACTTTCCCGGGCCCTCATCTCAATCAAACCAGACAAAAATACGCAGTAAGAATCGCAAAAGTACCAAGATTTTACGCATTGCCAAAAGGAGGATTAGATCGTTTTTGCGTTGCGTTTTACATCCAAAAACAGAACCAAACCAGCCAAATACGTCTTGTCAAGTTGGTTTACACAATCACCAAAAGAATAAATAAATAATAAAAAATGCCTAACTTTACGCACCTGAGAGGAGGTTCGTGTCCTTTACGGAGGCGTTGCTTAGGTAGTCTTCTTTGCACACGAACTTGTTCTCGTCGATAATGTAGAGCTCCTCGCCCGTGGACAGCTGCTTATTGCACATCATACACGTGAAGCAGTTCAGGTGGAACACTTTGCTCCGGGCGCGGCGGACCAGGTCGTTGGGAGAGATGCCCTGCGCGCATCCGCCACACTTGGTTCCGAAGCGCCTGCGAAGAAAAACCACGAGACCAGAGTGAGAAGAAAAACCTCATGTGAGCATTATTACGCATGAAAAAATAACACGTGAATGCCCATTTTGTACATTTATTTCCCTTTCACCCCTTAAGCTCCAACTCTAAACGCGCTTATAATGAACTGTTCTCGTATCTGCGCTTTTACGCACAATCTCAAGAGGATCCCCGGGGGCAATAAGGCGACAATGTCTTGCCCAAGAGCACAAAAGCAGCACGCAATTCACGTATAGAAACTGGCACGTATCAAAACGACTAACTTAGCACGTCCTGTAAACCTCTAACCCTAAAAATAAGTAGGCCTACGTTACGTTATGTTACATTTTCTTGTGCGTAAAAGGACGTGCCCAATAAACAAGCAAATCGGAGCATTAACTAAACAAAAAATAGAATATACGCTGGAAAATAAAGGCCTATACTCTTTTACAGACGCAAATAGTAAGTAAATATGCGTAAAACTCGTCCAAATTTATAAATAATAAAGATTAACTACATAAATCTAAGCTTGGACAACGATTTTAAAAGTATGTTCCATCGCTAGAACGCAAAATGAACATGAAAACCCGCACATTTAAATAAGTATGAGAGCATTTGGAGGTTTTAACGCGAGAGGAGCGTGGATGGTAAAAAAGGGCCCAGATGGCGCGGAGTGTATTTAAGACTAAATGGAGCTCGTTAATGCGCAGAAACAACCCGCTCTTGAAAGAAGCAGCTCTGACGAATACGCATTTGAACACGCGATTCTCAATACATAACCCGTATTTAGCGAGCACACGGGAAGGGAAATGGCCTCTTAGCTCGAATTATATCACACAGGCAATGTACAGACAATGTAATTATAAGAGGAAGTCAAATAATAATGGAGAGGTCGCCGTGCGTAATTTTAACACCAACGCATACACGGATTTTTTTGTGGAATTTGGTTTATAATGTTATTTGACAGAACTTGAACTACAATAATTACCTAAATTAACGTTATAAAGCCACTGCTACGTAATACTTTTGCTCTCGTTTGCGTTATTTCCACGCAGCCCACTTTACCACCACTTTTTTTTTAAGATTTGGAAACGTCTTTTACGCACGGGCGATATTTGCGTAACGAAAAGAAACGAGCCTGAATTCCGAGCCGGTTAAGTTATGTCGGTGTCAGATTGATTGAGAGCAAACTATAGTACATAATGTGTTTGGGCAGTGATCTACAGCGGCTTTTGTTTGGCCAAATAAACGCGTTTCATTGTAATTGTAATCCAGCGCTCGCTTTTGTCATTACTTGAAGCTGTCACGCAATCACGCCGCTCATTTTGGACCATTTTTTTATTTTTTTAGCAACTACTTGAGTCCTTAAATCTGTCTATACTTTATCTCTGTATTACGTCGCGCGTCGCCGGTGGCTGTGCGTCCATCACCGGCGCGCGTGAACAATGTGTATTGAGCTCGCGCTGCCCGTGTTGACTGCGGGTCTGTGATTGCTTTGTCTGGGGCTGATCTTCGCTGGTTAACTATTCAAATCCACTTATCACCTGGTCCTCAGCCGGACTGTCAAACTGCGCTCCCCTTTGGCCCCTGGACCCTAGTCACCCTGCCCGCCTTAAGTGTCATTTCCTCGCTGTGCTAACGAACCGCCCCCCTCCCGCTGCGGCCGGGCGCACGTGTCTTTTAATGTTACGGCCCTTCGCGCTTTGTCCGGCGCTTTGCATGAGAATCCAAATTAACAAGCTTTTAATTACGTGCCGCTAATCAAAGCTCAGGCCCGGTTGGAGCGCGTTCACGCCTCCGGGCTCCAGTCCACATTGAAATAAACACAAGAAAAGCACAAAGAAAAGCGGAGTGACCACGCGGAGCAAAGCGCAGCGCTGCGAGGCTCAAATCAAACCACAAGACCCCCTGCACATCTCTCTATTTCCAACAGACTGCAACATAAAAAGCACAGACTCGTTATAAACCAGCGTTTCAGCAAATAAAATAAATATAAAATCAGTATTGTGTTTTATAGTTTCATTTTTCCGCCGTGAAAATGAAAATGGTATAATTACATTTGAATCATAATAGTCCAGAGCGGAGCGCAGGGGTCTCAGTTCACCGGGGACCCCATTGTTCAGTGCACTGTTATTCTCTGTGTGTTTAGCCTTATTTGGTCATAATTACTATTGTAAATCCATTTAAGTAATTGTAATTTAAAATCGTATTCCTCGTTATTATTGGTAAATATCTGTAAATGTTAAAACAATCCAAAAGGACTTGAGTGTAAATGGCCTTATTTACACAATGGAGCGCACTATAAAAACACACAGTGTCTGTAAAGGTTTATCACATCACTAACATTTTTAAATATAAGTATTTCAGATTTTAAACTCTGCGTTTTTAAATACGATTTAGTATATTTGTATTTCTGGATCTTTTGGAGCAGATTTTATTTTATTTTTTTATAATTAGCCTCATTCGTTTTATTGACATGGAACAAGAGTCACAGTAAAATACGAAAATTGAATAAATACTGAATTAAAATCTAGGATATGAAATAAAACTTAAATGCTATTATTAAAATACATATTAACGTTAAAAACAAATATTTTTTGTGAGTAAAAAGTTGTTTTGAAATTTTCAGAATTTATTCAGAAATGATTCAAAATATAAAAGAGTTTGTACTTTTGTATTTTGAATCAGAAATGTAATTCTGTAAATTGTGCCTGTATAAAATTGTATAAAAGATTATTTGTATGTCCGGGTGCTGAGCTCCTCTAAATCCTCCTGTTCTCTCCCTTTTGCTTCTGGACAAACCGTGTTAAAAACACTGGCCACTGGCACTGCTCCTGCGCGCGCGCTTACCTAAAGAAATCATTTTTGCAGTAGAGTCTCCCCTCTCGAGAGAAGCACTTCTCCGTGAGGTTACACTTGCACTCGCAGCACTGCACGCACTTGACGTGCCAGGCTCTGTCCAGCACGTTCAGCAGGAAGCGGTCCAGGATAGGCCTCTCGCAGCCGGCGCAGTGGACCATGGCTCCGGGCTTCACGCTCTCCGCCCCACACTGAACACGTACCGCGGACTAAACCCTCAGCGCCGGGGGAAAGGGCATGGACCGAGAGTGTGAGCTGGTGTGTCCGGCCAAACACCCTCCAACAGCGGCTCCGTGTGCCAACCGAGCCCAGTCAAAGCGCCACGGGGTAAAACCGCTCCAAGAACCAGCCCGTCCTGCACCGCTGCGTAAACAAACAAAAGAAGAAAGCGAGAAGTCCTTTTCTGATCCAAAAGAGCCGACTCGAGTCCGGGGTGGCGCTCAGCTCGTGGCGCTGTCTGCTCCGCTTTGGCGCATCGGCCGGAGAGGAGCGCGAGGTGCCAGTCACTCAGAGCCGCGCGGGTCAAACGTGTTCAGGGCGCCGCTGTCACGCAACAAGACACGCACGCGCCCGGGGATAACGCAATGGGCTCTGACATGGCACCAAATCCAAAACCGAAAGAACCCGGCGACAAAAAACAAAACACGAAATCACACACTGGGGTCTGTCCTCTTCTGTCGCAGCTTGTTCTGGCCGTAACGCAGCAGTAGTAGTAGTAGTAGTAGTAGTAGTAGTGGTAGTAGTAGTAGTAGTAGTAGTAGTAATAGTAGTAGTAGTAGTAGTACTGGATGCTACACGGGATGCCCTCCACCTCGTTGTGTATTCTGGTTCTCCACTGACACTGCCTTTGCACCTACGGCTGCCTCCAACTAGCCTTATTCCCAGCCCTCTTGCGTCACGGCGCGCGCGGACCAATGGGAGCGCTCGTCGAGCCCTGAACGGCGTCCAAACCAAACCGTCAGCGTAAAGCACGGCCAGAGCGCGTCTCCCGGTACGCTTAATGCCACACACACACAAGAACGTACCCGCGCTCGAGCCACCTTCGCCGGGATTGGAGGAGGAGGGCGGACGGGCGCGAAGGGAAGGGAGCCGCGGAGGAGGCGAGGAGAAGAGCGGCGCAGGAGGAAGGAGGAAGGAAGGAGGAGGAAGAGGAGGAAGAGGCAGAGCGGGAGCAGGTACCGGACCCACGGAGAGACGCGGGCGCACGGCTCTGACAAATTAACACGTGAATGAATCGACTGCGTATAGTTATTTAATGCTGGCTTATGAGCTGCATTAGGAATTTTCACGTTTTAATATTATCTTTTAATTGTTTATGTGGGTTTACGCACTGATTTAAAACAGCATTGTGACTTGTAAATTGAATTAATGAGTTCATTATTTTCTAAACAAAGCATAAAGTAATTTCTCTAATGACAACTGCACTGTGCCTGCCTTTAAAAAAAAATATAAATAAATAAATAATAAGAGAAATAAGAAATGTAATGATACGTGGAGTCTTGGTGTTCACTTTTGGATTTAGTTTTTGTTTACAGCTATTAAAAAAAAAAAAAAAAAACTTAAGTAAATATTTAAGCGTTGTATCCCAGGTCAAAAAGTGAATTATTGTGCAAAACATGTTTTTAAATTGGTTTAATAAAGCTTGTGGACACTACAGCTGTGCGTAAGTGGTGCGTAAAAGTATGCGTAAAAAGAAAATGAAACGTCTTTGAGTGTAAAAAATTATAATATTTGACCACATTTTTTAACTAAGTCAACCAAAACAGACGTATTTAGATTAAAATAACTATAAATTTACTAAAAATCGTTTCATATTTAGTCAGAAATACGTGGGTAAACGGTTTAAGACGTGTGGTTTTAGTCTCAGATGAAGCAAATGTCCATTCTCTTCCCACTTCTCACATGAACCTCATTTGTGTGTTCCAGAGCGCGTGCCGGGGCGCTGGTGTGACGTAGAGAGAGGACGCGGAAGTGTGAAAGGCTCTAAAGAGGCTCTAAAGAGGCTCTAAAGTTGACAGCCGCGCGTTTGCCCCGGACCATTCACTCATTAATAAAGGCATCTCCAAAAAATTAAAAAAGAAAAAAAAAGAAAACGAGCAGATCCGGCGTCAATCCTTCAAAGACGCGCGGGTTTTTTCTGCTCCTCACTCTCCAAAAAAAAAAAAAAAAAAAAAAGACAAAACGTGGGGCAGGCCTCAAACTGAACCACGTATTTATTATTTACGTAAGGTGAGGGGGGGAGGAAGAGGAAAAGGAGGAGGAAGGGGGCTTGTTATCCGGGGAATTGCCTCAAAATGACTGCCGGAGTTCAGAGGAGGCGGTCAGAGGGGGCTCGTTTATTTTGTCCCTTTAATCCAGCCCGTACTTACGCAAAATGATCACGCATCTGCCACGCCACGCACGCACGTCACGCAGAGGACACCCCCCCCACACACACACGCACACACACCGCCAACCTTCACGGCTCTAAGCTCCAAAACGCGGGGCCTATCCTCCTCACCAACCTCATCTCCTCATCCTCACGGGTCTTTTTTTTTTTTTTTTTTTTTCATTTAGCGACCATTTTTTTCTTTCGTACCTTTTATGGCATTATTGACTTGACTTTGTCTTCTCTCTCCTCTTTCTCTCTCTCTTCTCTCTTCTCCTCTGTGGGTGTCGCATCTGCTCGCGCTTCCACCCGCGTGTGACCGAGCAGCATTGGGGTCATTGAGCTCCATGACAACTGGGCGGTTCGTATTTACGCACAGACGCGGGGCAATCAGCAGCGCCGGAATAGGACGCGATCACGTGACGTTGGGAGATTCAAGAGAGCAGAGAACAGCTTTTTTTTTTGTTGTTGTTGTTGTTTTTTTTAGACATTTACAATAACAGAACAGCGAGGAATTAGTGTGAAAACGCGTGGAGTTAGATCGTAATGACATACCGAGTCCGTACGACAAAAACGGATAAAGTTTAAGAAATTTCCGTCAACACAAACTGGATTTATTGTTTAATTTTATCTTCAAAAAGTTGGACAAAACCTTATAACTGCTTTTAATGATCTGTTTCATAGTGTCAACGTAACAATAACCGGAATTTTGTGATATCGTATCGTCAAAAGTGGCACAATAATATCGTGGGGCTGTTACAATATATCGTACAAGTCTTTTCGCTTAAATTATCATCATGAACTACGTAGACCATGATCCTTTGCTCCGTTTTAGTGTAAAACTTATGAAAAAGTAACTGTTATGAAGCACTTTTAGATCTTAATCAAGTTTTGTCGAGGAATTTTAGTCGGTCAGAGCAACATACTCACAAAATATTGCAATAAATATCGTACTGTGATTTGTGTATCATGAAAATTGAGTGATTTTGATATCGTCACGTCACGGTTTAATACAAATATAACGATATCCAAATTGCTCGGTATGATATTATCGTGATATGCATCTCACGGTACGATATTTATTGCGATATTTTAGCGATATGACACTTTTCTGCTTTTAAAATACCTCGACATGATTTCGGTGCGAGCTATTACCATCATAATTTCTAGAATTCATGTAAAAAACATATTTCTTCACGTCGTCCGCGCTGAAATGCATCATGGGATATGTAGTTTCCGATGTTTATAAGGTGTTTCAACTATAAAACAATGCATTTAAGCAAAAAAAACCAACAACTTGCGATTCGATATATTGCGACTGCTCACGATGTTATTGCGAGACTTCTGACGATACGAAATCACGATATTTCGGTTAGTGTTGCATCCGTAGTGTTTAATAATAATGTTTGGCCTTTACGCTTTTGCTATTTTGACATAGTTTGACAGAAACAGGGAAAGAGAGTGAGTGGAAAGAGAAAAAACTGAATATATACGGAGAGAGAGGGCATACCCCGGGCCCAAACTCTAGTGTTAAATACATGTTAACACTGAAAGTTGTTGTTGTTTGCATGCGGAAGTACTGGGAGATGCCTCGATAGCGTGTCAGTGCGGATAATCTGCGCCCGATTTAGAATAAGCCACGGAGAAAGAAAGAGGCGCACGGGAGAAGGCTAATCCACGAATAGAAATCAAAATATAAGCTTAAAAATATCTGCACTCCCTCCAGGCAAAGATACTATTAAATGCAAAAAAAAAAAAAAAAAAAAAAAAAAAAACGGGTTTAACCTCAGCAACTGTAATCCTCCAATCGCAATACATTTCATTCTCACATTTCCATTCGGGTGAAGCCTGGAGTTGTAAATTGGAATTTGTAGCCAGGCTCAATGCAGCATCCGGGGTAAACAAAAACAGACTTACGTTACGTTTAAAAGGCCGATATACGCGCGCGCGGGCCTGTGCGTAAAGACGCCACGAACCCAAACTCAACTTTACCGTGCGTCACGCGTGTTTTTACTGCCAGTTTAAGAATGTACGCGTAGATTATGGATGATTTAAACATTTTATCAAACTGTTCGATTTAAAATAAACACTGTCAGCGTTTAATCACAGGCCAATAAAACACACTGTTATCTTATCTTATCTTGGAACGCATTTCCATCAGCTCCATGACTCCATGACGCACGTAAACCCAAACATACAAGAGTCTTACTGTTAAAAGTAGCGCGAAATAACCTCATTTGAGTAAAAGTTTTTTTAAAAAAGTGACTAAAATTTGAGATTTCTTACGATATGATTCAACAAATCTTCACTGAAACACAAAATCTTGAATACGCAACTCAAAACTCGCGTCATTTCGTACAATTTAAGCCGTTTTTCTGTTTTGTTTCGACATAAAATAATGTTAGTTTTCTTCTCAAGCTTGTAGCCGAGTCTGCGTTTGAAATTTTAAAGATGATTCAAAACAGTTTTGCTATTCTCACACTTGGACATGTCGTTTTCTTTGTCCTTAAATACGTTCCTTGGTTTTTACGCACATTCCTTCGCCAATCTCCAAAAAGCAGCACCTCGGACAGCGCACCAGCGAGGCCTCGGAGTGCAGTTTTTTTTTTTTTTTCCTTTTGCGCGTGTGTTCCTGGAAAAAAACCCGCAGCCCCTGAGATTTGCGCTTTATGAAGTGCACACGAATGAACTGCGACAACGGCGAGATAATTAATCTGAGGATAATGAATTAGGCTGTGAAGATGCACGCGCAATCATCCATTCTAGCCATGACACGTTTTATTTGTCTGTATC